GCAGTTTCTTGGGGAGGGCAGCTGTGGGGTGGGCAGTTTCTTGGGGAGGGCAGCTGTGGGGTGGGCAGTTTCTTGGGGAGGGCAGGCAGGCTGTGGGGTGGGCAGTTTCTTGGGGAGGGCAGCCTGTGGGGTAAGCAGTGTCTCGGGGCAGGGGCATGGCCAATGGCAGGGTAGAGGTGATACCTGTCTGTCAGATCTGCTGGCAGGCTCAGGTGACACTCCCTCTGTGTCTGTCAGATCCACCAGCGCATCTCCAGCCTCCTGCAGGAAGCCCAGGCCCAGGCCGCGTCGGTGCTGGACAGCCTGGCGGCACGTGGAGAGTGACAGTGGCTGATGTCCATAGATGTTGTGACCCCCATCTGCCCACAGCCCCAGACCTCAGCACGGTGTGGGCTGGGGCCAAAAATGGGGGGAAGGGAGGGGGAGGGGGCCTGTCTGATGTCTGTGGGTACACGGCCACCTTCTGTCACCGGGGCCTCCAGTAAATCCATGGCAAACCTGTGCACTGTGCTTGCGTTTGGGCAGAGCTGAGAACATGGGCTAGGAGGAGGGCGAGGACAGGGGCCTCTGGCCTTGCGTGGAGGTGACAGCCGGAGCTCCAGGGTCCCCCATGCAGCGTGTTTGGGACCCAGGAGGCTCTGGTCAGGGCCTAGGTGACCGGCTGAGGGATGAGCCCTGGCGGGTGGAAGACTTTGGGGCGCAGGGCTCTTGCTCTGGCAGCATGGAGCTGCTCAGGGCCCCAGCTCCAGCCCACCCTTGTCCTTCCTGGAGCTCCATTTCCTCAGCTTCCCTGCTGGACACACCGCTGGCTTAGAGGTTCCAATAATCAAGCAGTTACTCACAGATGCACCATTGCGTGCAAACCCCAGAGGTAGGGTTGTGTTTGTGATGGGACAACACAGGACACTAAAAACGTGATCTGAGTCAGATGCCGGTGGCTCACGTCTATAATCCTAGCCACTCAGGAGGCTGAGATCTGAGGATTGCTGTTCAAAGCCAAAGTCTGAAACTCTCATCTCCAATTAACCAGGAGAATAAAAGCCAGAGGTAGAGATGTGACTCAAGCAGCATAACACCAGCTTTGAGCAAAAAAGCCAAGTGAGAAGCTGCGGCCTTGAGGCCAAGCCCCACTACCAGCTCTCCCCCTCAAAAAGGGAAAGTGATTTTGGGGTGCATTCTCCTTTTTTGCCCCTGTGGGAGATGAGATGGGACTTGAACTCGCTACCTGTCGCTGACGCTTCACCCTCACTGCCAGCAGAGCCACACATTCTTGAGCAAAGCAGAAAACTTAAGCATCTCTGGGACAGATTTTGCTGATCAGAAAATCGAGTTCCCTTGTTTCTGGAGAGACAGCATCACTTGTGCGCAGTGGTGAGAACCACGTCCATGGTGCGTGGCCGGCCGGGTGTGGGCTGTCCATCAGAACACAAGGCCCCACGCCGGCCACGTGGACAACACGCCCCATGAGCTGGCCCACGAGCGGCCTGCGTGGCAGCTGAAGCCGCCTGGGGCTGGCCGGTGAGGCCCAGGACAGCCCTGCCCTGCCGGCCCTGAGGGTGTCCATCGTACCTGTGAGGGCACAGGCTCAGGTCCTGAACTTGTCCCAGGCACCGCGGGCTGCTGGCGTGCCTCCCGGGCGCTGCTGCAGCGGGCAGCTCTTAGCCTTGGTGCTCCGGCCTCCGCTCCTGCCCTGAGCGGATGAGGCAGGAGGAGCTGCCCCAGGTGGACAAGGCCATGCTCCTCCAGGGCCACCGGCTGCGCCTCTGTCGGTGTGCCCGTGCCTCTGGTGAGCTGGCACTCATGCGGGGGTCAGGGGGGATGAGGCTCCCAGGCTGGCCCCCCCACAGTGCGGGCATGGGTGCTGCATGCGGTCGTGGGGGGGGTCACTGGTGAGACCGCCGGGGCTGGCTGTGGGTCAGCCCCTTGGCCCCTGGGGACATGTGCTGTCCTTTGTGACGCACCTGAGCCTCCGGATCTCAGGAGCTGGCACCTGTGCTCAGAGGGGGGCTGTGGGCACGGCCCTGCCCCGGGCAGTTGAGGAAAAGAGCAGAGCGGAGTCTGCAGGGTCACCCAGCCCGGCTGTCCCCTGGAGTGTCTGGGAGAGGAGGAGGATCTGGTCTGGAGAGGAAAGGCAGGGAGGCTGGGGTCAAGGCGTCACACCCATCTCGCGCCTGACGGGACTGGCTGGTACAGATGGGATGGCAGGGCTTTGGTGTAGAGTCAGCGACAATGTTGCACAGCCTGGCACTGTACCAGGCACAGGTGTCCCTGCCTCAGGGCCGAGCCTCCGCAAGGGATGGATACAGCTTCACTGATCCAGTGGGACTTGTGATTCCTTATAAATCCCTGGAGCCTAGAGAGTTCACAACAGCTGAAAATACTGGTTAAGGAAAACTTTCACTTAATGTCATCTGCTAAGAACCTCAACAGAAAGTTACCCACTGTCTTGAAAACAATAGAATGAGGACTTTGGATGCCAACCAACACAGAATACCATGAAGCCCACGAAGAGCTGTGTGGCCAGACACCTGGAGCCGTGAGGTGGGAGGCCCGGCTGGCCCCTGCCAGCAGAGGGCCCTGGCTCCGCTCATGCCTGGTCCATCCCTGGACACCAGGCCTCCGGAGCTGTGTTGGGACACCGGGCAGGACCTTGTGGGCAAGCTGTGAACTGCAGCCCAGCCCAGGATGTTAGGCTATGCACAGACCTGTGCATCTCTGACAACAAGGAGATTACCTACCCCAGGAGCCGATAATCCCATGGGGAGCCTCCTGAGGGTGAGAAAGGCCCAGCAGTCCAAGAGAACAAAATCCCCCGACTGCATAATAAATGAATAAATGTCTGGTCACAATCTGTCCTGTCCACCCACCATCTTCTGTCCTCCACGGGATGGAGATCCATGCAAGCCACCAGAGAGGTGGAGGGTGCCCTGCCGGCTCTGGGGACAGTGGAAGAACTGAAGACAAGAGTGTGTTTAGCTCAGGGCTGACCAGCCAGGCGTCCGTGAGGAGGCTGGACAGCCAGTCCTGGCCAGTGGTGTGTCAGTGTCTGAGTGTCCTCCAAGAGGCCCAAGAGGTGAGAGGAAGGCGGGGGATAGGGACGCCAGGGGATGGGTTCAGCGCCTTTATTGGGCACAGTGTATGACATGGGCTCTTTGAGCTCAGGGTGGGAGCAGGGTGTACCAAGGCCCAGGGAGGCTGGTGGAAGGCCGTGGGTGGTGCTGCGGGGTGAGGGAGGGCGGCCCGGAGCTGGGTAGCAGAGACAGGGACCGGGAAAGCGGGTCCTGGGGGGCCGCTGCCGCTCTCACGGGCTTGAGCTCAGGTGTGGGCAAGATGGAGGGGAGGGCACGTCAGAAAGCCACAGGGGTCAGGGTTTGGGGCGCAGGGTCCTCCGCCTCCGCCTGGAGGCCCAGTGTGCCCCTGAGCACCAGGGAGGGGGCCGGCCACTAACAGATCCAGCGGATGAACCTGTCGAAGAAGCCGGGCTGCACCAGGCTGTCGAAGTCCTTCTCCCGGAAGATGGCCGCCCTGTCCCCCAGGGCGATCTTGGTGAGCACGTCCATGTCCACGTCGCCGCCCACGGCCACCACGGTGGGCACCACATTCTGCTTGCGCATGGAGTGCACGGCCTCGTCCAGGCTGTGGTTGCCGGTGACGCCGTCGGTGAGGAAGACGAAGTTGAGCTCCGCCAGGCGGCGGGCGCCGCGGGCGCGCCCGGCCACGTCGTTGATGGCCCCCACCACGCCCGCGCCCACGTGCGAGAAGGAGTTGAGGTAGGTGGCGCTGCCCAGAGCCTCGCGGATGGCCGCGGGGTCAGAGCTCAGCGGGAAGACCACGCGCTGCTCGCGGGGACCCCCGAACTGCAGCAGCGCCAGGCGGGCGCGCAGGGGGTCTGCGTCCCCCTGAGCCAGTGGCAGGCGCCGCGCCACCTCCTCCACAAAGCCCAGCGCCTTGTGGAAGTTCCGCTCGCCCAGCCGCTCCGAGCCGTCCAGCAGGAAGACCACGTCCACCGGCCGCTGCGCACACTGGGCCACCGACAGCTCTGCGGGGGAGACGCGCGTGGGTGCGGGCCAGCAGATGGGGCAGACCCCTTCCTTGCGCACCCCTCCCCCCTTGTGGACACCGGGCCTCCCAGGGGACCCTCACCGGCCTGTGTGTCAGAGACCACAGGGTAGGACCTACCCACACCTCAGGCCCCTCGGTGGGAGGGAGCCGGGAATGGGCTGATCCCCACAAACCCTGACTCCATCGCGCACACCTCCGTGCTGTAAAACCCAGGGAGGGGGGCCCTGGGGGCGTCCGTCACGGACGTCCAGACACACACCACCAGAGGCCCCGATGCAGGCCCGCCTGCTGGTGCCATCACGCTTGCCAGGCCAGCGCCCGGCCAGTGGGCCCAGCTCCCCACCCGCCGGTGGCCGGGCCCCCCTTGTGGATGTCAGCTCTCATACATGCGTTTAACACCTCGGACCAGGGCAGTGAGGGTCCGCAGGCAGATGGAGTCTACCTCACCACACAGCTTATTTTGGTGCAGAACACCCCCAAGAGCTTGCTGAAGGCAGTGCTGGACGTCCCCCCCTCTGGACGGACAGACGTGCTCATGGCTGTCACCACAGACACCGAGACGGACGTGCAGGGGGGAGGCTGGCTCTGGGGAGTTTCCTAGCAGCTGTGGAAGACCAGAGGAAGGGCAGCAGCAGAGACGCGGGGCACTCTGGGCTCTGTACCCCCTCTGTACCCCCTCGGTGGGAGGGGCCCTTCTCCCTGCATTTCCTCCCGTAGGAAGTCTGGCTCTGCTGCCCTGAGGTGGTGGGGGTTTGGCCTCCTAGGAATATGGGCCCTGCCCTGGCGCAGGCCGCCTGGGCCTCAGCTGTCTTCCTGCAGCTGAGCTTGCAGGGAGGCAGCAGCTTTGCCGCGGGACCTGGCCCAGGGTGTCCTGATAGCTCGGCTCAGGCAGCCCAAGTTCTGCCCTGTGGTGCTCACGGGTAAGTGGAGGCTGGGCGGTGGGGACACAGATACCCGGCGAGGGGCCACCGGCCCCCAGTGTTGGTGACTGGGCCTAACAGGAATGACGCCGGCTCAGATGCGGTGTGTGTCAGCGCGCGGGGTCCCAGGAAGCTACCATAGCCTGTTGCTTTGCCACAGTGCCTGGTGACCCCGCACATGGGTCAGCGCCCCACCAGCCTCTCTGAGGCTCCACTTGAAGTGGCAGGGGAGGCCTCCCCGACTGAGCGCGCAGTCCTTCCCCACATGGGCGTCCTGGCCTGGGGACACGGTCAGCTCATGATGGCCATGCCCTCCCCACAGACCCCCGGGAAGGCGGCGGTAGGTGCCAAAGAAGGAGCTTGCGATGTGAGCACCCCGGCCTTAAGCTCAACGCTTGCTTGAATGAGAGGGAGGGTGAGACACAAGAGAGGCCATGAGAAGGGGGTGGAATGCTGCCCCACCCCAGGACAGCTGCACTTCCAGACAGAAGCAGGAGGAGCCCTGCGCCCACAGAAGACAGCACCGCCCTAAACACACTTCTGGCCCCAGACGGAGAGTGGATGCCTGCTGTCCTGGGCCTAAGAAGCAGACTGCAGGGGAGGGGTCAGCTGACTGCCGGCGGCCGGGGCTCAGCAGAGCGCCAGTGCTGCCTCAGGGTCACCCGTGATGTCTCTGTGCACCAGCTTAAAGGTGTCAATGAACAGCTGTGTCCAGTCCTGCCGTGCCACCCCTGTGGCAAGCTTGGCCCGCTCCGCCGTGTAAACCATCACAGCCACCAGGTGGGAGTAGGTGGCCGGGCGCTGCGTGGGCTCCGTGCCATTGAGCAGCTGCCGGATCAGGGGGATGGTCCTGGGGAAGGTGCGTTCTGGACCCTCTTCCGTTCGGAGGAAGGTGACCCAGGGCTCGCTCCCAGGCCTCGGTCCATCTGCAAGGGAGGGCCCAGAAAAGGCGTTGAGGGCCTTGGTGTGCAAGGGGCCTCCGCCCTCCTCGGGCCTTTCTGCGGGGAGCAGAGTTAGGACGGCGGTGAGGGGTGGTGGGTAGCCCCTAGGAGGCAGGTGGGCGGAGGAGATGGGGCACCTGGCCTAGACAGGAGGTGGGCAGAAGTGGAAAAGCCGTCAGGAAGCAGCGCTACCAAAGAGAGAGCCCTGGCCTTGCGGCACCACACCCCAGACCTGGAGGGGACCGGCACAGAGCAGCTCCACCCAAGCCCCACAGAGAAGGGAGCAGACACAAACACTCTGCCAGTTCAAGGCCACGTTCCCAGGAAAAGCCGGCTAATGAAAGCCCCTGGGGGAAGCCCACAGAACCTTCCGAGATGGGATCCGCTGCCTCTCCAACCTGGCCGGAGGGTGTCCCAGAAGCAAACCCTCGGGGAACACCCCTCTCCCCCTTTCTGTGTGTCCTCTCCCTTTTCCCAAGTCTCTGTTCCTCTTTTTCATGGTCTTTGCCTTTCTCTCACTACATCTCATCTTTTTTATCTCCACGTCTCTGCCCCCTTCTCTGTCTGGTCCCAGGCTGCTGGAAGGCCTGACTCCAAAAGCGTCTTGGTCAGACTTGCTCTATTGTCTCTGGTCACGAAGAAATAATGAGCAAACCTAGAGCCTTTTGAAGGCTCGTGGGACCACGTTTGAACCGGAAACGTTGACAAGGACGGTCACCCAGGACGTGGTACCGGCACCTTCTAACCTCGCGTCGTAGCTGGCGCCTGGCTGCCATGCTAACCTTCCTTGAGATGTCTCTTGGCCACGGAGGAGGGTGAGCGTGGCTAGGCTCAGTGGAAAGGGGCGAGGCGGGAGGCGGAGGGCAGGGTCAGCAGAGGCAGCCTGGGGTGGTCCTCCCTGCTCTGGTAGGACTGCCCAGCCCAGTCCTGGAGGACACTTCACCTGGACAGCAGCACTGCCCGGGACAAGCCAGACACAGACCTCAGTAGCTGCAACTGACAGCCCTCTGAACACAGCCAGCTCCTCAGCGAGCCCCCGCCACCCGGCCCGGGACGAAGGGGCCACGCGAGCTCTTCGGGCGGCACGCCAGCCCACGCTGCACCCTCCATCTCGACCACTCGCACATCAGCTACAGAACAGGTGGAGACGTACGTGACAAGGCCCAGCACCCCACCACGGAGCTCCCAGTCCCCAGGAGGAAACGCCTGTGGGCCCGGCCCGTGTGGAGACAGCCCCAGACACGCCTGTGGGCCCGTGTGAGCTCCAGAAATGCCTGTGGGCCCAGCCCGTGTGGAG